GAAATAAAAAAAACGTGGTAATCTATTGTGTAGTATGTTTGCATACCTGTTTCGTCTATTATCGTTTTAAAGCATGTGCTGCATTTATATTTTCGACAAACGATGTGGTATTTTTACTACTCATTTTCTGTTTTTATAATATATATATACATTATGCACATATCCATTATGCATTTAAAGTTGATTAACCGATATTTACTTTTAATATGTTTCGGAGGAATTTCCACTTAACACGTTTGTACACACTACCCATCCGTCAATAAGATTTCAAATTGTACTGATATGATAAAATAATATCATGTAACGTCTCACGCACAAAAAATCTACATAAAACATTAGTTTTTATCAGCCAGACTATCTGTTAACCACGACAAAAGTAATCAAGTCTGTAACAGAAATTTTGAATAACGAGTAGACCAAGAATTTTATTATTAATTATTTTACTTATTGCGGATAATATATTTGGATATATTTTGACGAACCCACCTTGGAAAACACGAAGTTCATTAGATAATGACGGAATGGTCCGAAAGGCCGCTTTTGAACTCCGAAAAAAACGTTATTAATATTATCTAAATGATAGAGTGCTGTAAAACAAATTGATAGTAGTTATATTATTATCTATATTTATTTCGTGTATCAATTATAATATGTAATCACTCGATAGTATTGTTTCAAACTACTAAAATGGTATGCACTGCAAATACGAATTTTAAATACGTCTATTTTAAAAATATAAATTAAAGTTTTAAACGTTTGTCTCGTACAGTAATATTATAAAAATCTAGGTATTTCAGTTATGCGTATAAATAATATTATTTTGAAAACATTATAATAAAATGACGGTTATAGATTTTAATAGACCAGAGTTTATTATTGTCAACTACACCCTATACACATTTAATACGGTAGCGAGTGACAGGCTAAAGGTTTTTTTCTTCAACGCGATAAGTCTGCAGCGTCTATGGAAACGATTTTATTCGGTCGCATCGGAAAAACTATTCCCGAAAAACGGCACAAAAGACACAAAATGTGAAAAGGAAAACCATCAGTCACAAAAAAAAAAAAAAACGATATAAGGTTAACGACAATAGTTCAACTGTTGGAATCGTGAATCATGATGGAAACGAGCGTCACTACCAGACCATAATAATATAGATAAACCATCATGAAATTGGGAATACAATATTACTACGTTTATGGTATCGTATGCAATTTTTATTATTTTACCATTCCAGATTACATTATGAGTAAACCAATATTGTTATCACACCATTTTCAATAATTATCACAGAATACTCCCAACCACGGAATACTCTATGCTCCCATCACTCGAAATTTCGAAATTACATATATTCGGTAACCTACAATTAAATAAAAATGTCCACGTTTTATGTAACTCTCGTCATTAGATCATTGTAATTTATAAGTTTAGGTAACCTCAAATCCGATTAACAGTCAATAACGGATTATTATCGCAGAGAAATTAGAAATGTTTATGTTTTTTTTGGTAGTTTTTAAGTTTACGTTTTCGGATAACATTTCTATCTTTTTTTTTAAAAAAAAGAGAGTTTTCAATTCCTGCAGAATTTTCCAAATATTGTCACATCATATCACACCATGGTCTTAGTTTCAAAGACCTGCTAAATGTATAGAAAATTAAGAACTTACCGATTGGTCATGTCGTTTTTAAAATTTGTTTTATATGTAAAATGTACCGTTAGCTATAGAAACTAAAAACCGAGGGGAAAATATATAAACACAAATTATGGCACGGTAATAAAATTGCGAAAAGTCATTTTTGTTGTGCCTATTCGAAATGTTCCTGTACCATTTCGTTCCCAGAACGATGCGACTGCAGGGTTATTATTACGACTGTCATTTCGGATATTTTCGAGTTCAGCTGGGAAGAAAGAGACGTTGTCGGGGGTAGGTATCTAAAGTTCGTATTTTGTTTGTTAAATCATTCAAACAATATTCGTGTGTATGGTGATTTTGTAAATATCCAAATTTATAATAATAATATATTACGCTATCCATTTTGAGGAAGAGAAAGTTTCGTTCGGTATTATATTAATACGGCACTATACGTTTGCGACTCAAATTATTAAGGGAAAAAGTTATACACTACGCATTAGACATACACCCGGTTGTAGTTGACGGGTATATTATATACATTTCTTAAAATGCGACACGAAATGATTGAACGTTTTTGGGCGTAGCTCGTAGGTATGCGAGTGAAATATATACTTTCGCGTTCATTACAAAAACTAATGAGAATTCTGTGGACATTTAAACAACCCCTGAGAATAAATTAAGTAATTGGGTGTTCCTTTGCAGAAACAGAAACTTTCGAGAACGACCACAGTTGGGTATTTGTTTTGAGTATATACCTACCTAGGTACTTACTTACGATGTCAGAAGGATCGCCAAAGAATAATACATATTTTAAGGATTTGTGTTTTTGCACGCATGTTTTAGAAGCAGATGAACTTTGCTGATCGAGGAAGATAAAACCTATGTAAGTTCTTATTTATATCCGTTTTCGAGAAAATAGACTAACATTATTTTGGAACGTGAATTTTCTGTTCACTCTATAAAGTCGACCCCGAAGCGACAATAATTTTTTACAATATAATATAATGGTTGTATTCACAAATATCTACGGTCGTGTAAGAGGCTATCAAAAGGTTATTTATGCGACGATTTTTCATTAACGTTCCGTTTTTGTTAATTTTGAAGGATGAAATGCAATTATTTCGATATTTATTCGACTGAAACATCAATTATTCGGATCGAACCATGAGTCTAATTATAAATAATTGATCGGCCGTTTGATAACCATGCAATACGAAATTAGGTTGCATTTAACATGGATTTAAACAAGTGTCTTCATTTATTTGTATAGATCAAACATATGTTCAACAGCACGTATCTCAAAATTTGTCAATATTAGATTATTATTATCGATATTAATTAATCAAGTACTTACGAAGATGTTTTGTTTTACAATATATTTTATTGTTTCACACACGATTACACCATTATTCACAAATATGATAACATCACTCACGGAACTTATTAGGTACATCAAAACTTTATATCAATAAAACGTATCTCTGCAATAACACATGGTTATCGAGATCTGTATGAAAAAAAATATCTTAGATATAAGGTATCGTAAATAAGAGATATGTATTGGTTTCTTACAATATTGACATATGTGTTGTTTTAAAAAATATGTTTTGATCATTTTCTAAAACTACAAAAACTATTTGCGTACGCCCCTATTGCAGTGTAACCAACGATATAAATATTTTTGCGAACATAGAAATATATTGATTTCACGCCGAGTAATTTAATTAATTAACTATTTAGTTAAAAACCGTAAATATATGACGATCACTTTAATAATTCCCATCCAACAGTTGTAGGTACTTATGCAATTTTCAGTACATTAAAGTGTTCATTTGTTTTTTACTAATAATATTATATCATTATAATTGTACGAGTTATAATCTCGAATACCTACGTAACGGAATTAATTATAACGTACAGGATAAAAACTGTTATTATAATAATATGCAGTTTTCAAAAAAAAAAATCCTATTCTAAATAATAATAGAATACACGTCATGTAATGAAGTTGGTACGAGCCATGTAAAAAAAAAAACTTCATAATTCATAATATATTTTAATTATGAAGTATAAAACATACAAGCGCAATTCAAAACTTTTTAAATACAGGCGAACACTCGGTAATGTCGCACAGTGGGTAATGGTGCGCACGTCAATATCTAATGAACCAGTGGATTTTAAGATTTTATTTTAATAGGTTAGAATAATTAACTGGTCCGTTTTACCATATGAACAAATCTTGATAACTGAATTATAATTATTTTTTTAGTATTATGTATATAGACATCTTACCGCATGTGATTATCCCAAGCGAAAACTAATAAAATGAATCATTATCCTCTCGTATATAGTGTACACTGCCGTGCAGTTGCGTTTTTTTTCTTCAAATCTAATTATTCAAACAGTATTAATAATACGAACGTATTAATCACCAATTGTAATTGGTTTGAAGTCAGTATGATACGAATTGTGCCCACAAGATAAATTTTCCTAAAGCACGTGATGTTATCCCCGCGTTCCCTTACAATACAAACACATTTTCAACCAGTTAAATAATTTTTCAATGAAAACAAAAATGTTAGTGTATGATCTATTGATTTTACTGAACTTTGTGTAGTATTTTACGTCTCATTCAAGTATGGATATAATGTACATTTTACATGTCTGTATACATACACATACATACAGTGATCGTTAATTTTTATTCAATCGCATAAATACGTATTAAATATTTAAAACATTAAAATTAACGATTAAGTGTACGAGGTAACCGAATAGGCAAGAATATTACATATTCGTTCTAGCTGAATTGACTAATTTTTCAGAGTTCGAGTCGGCCAAATTGACTTACCAAAAGATTGGTGTAAGCGAAAAAAAAAAGCATTTTAAGTGAACATTTTCCTTTTTTGCTCATTTTAATATTTTGTTACTTTGTGTGTTTACATAAACGAGGAGCAAAAAAAGGGTCATTTTTGCTGAAAAAAAAACAAAAGCAATATTGCCCATTAAAAAAAAAAAAAAAACTGCTACGTTCCACTATTTCGAACATAATATTAAATTAGACATAATAATAATATTTAACAATATAATATTCAAATATCGTTTATCATTATATTATACTTAATATTTTCAGTCGTATTGACATCAATGAATAAGATTCTTATTTTATTTTAGCTCAAGTTACTCTTACATATTGAAACAAGACTTCCGGTAGATATTTTTGTCACAGTATAAAAAAAGAACCATCATTGAAAATTCAATAGGTACAATTTTCGCTACGCTCAGAATCTAAAATTTAAATTTAATTAATTATTTCCAATTTTGATTCTAAAAATATATTATTTTATTATATCAAAATTATAACAAAATAGAACATCACAAGGCTTATAGCGGGGGAGAACTCCCCCCTCGCACTCCATTTTTAGGGACGCGCTTGGCTCAAATAGTTAAATCTTTTACGATGCAATATCATGAAATATATACAAGACCTCTCTTTTTAAAATCACCTAAACGAAGGTTTTTTTTTTTGTTCAATTTTATGCAATGCTACTGCAACGTTTTCAACTTCTCAAGGAATCCATCATTAATGTAAAGGAGTGCGTAGCGTCGGTATCGCAGAAACGAATACCGTTTTGACTACTTTTAGCATAATATTATATAAACACCTATGTGCGTGTAAGTGAAATTCAATAAAACCTTCTTTACGAATATCTCACCCTATTCCGGAAAGAGAATTCTCCGTTGGAAATTCCGAGTCTGATGGCTTAAAATATACACCAGTGACCCTGCACACCTACATTCGAAAAACCTTTTTTCCACCGTATTTATAACGCAGTTAAATATTAAAAAATCGTCGGTTTTTTCTTCTTTTTTCTATTGTTTTCTTACTTATATAGTTGGTCCCTCTAAAGGGAATCGCTGAGTAAAATTCCATACGTCCAAGCTCCCGAGATTGGGACATTGGAAACGCATTAGGAGACTACCTTTTTTCAGCAAGATAACGAATTTTATGTTTTTTTAAATTCATAAAGTTATTTATTTTAATACAGTACAATAATAATAAGTATTAAAGTGTCGTCGCTTTTCGATTATTATTATAATAAATCAGCACTGGACAAGGATTATAATTTTCTATAGTCTCGTTAAAATATATAAATATGAAATTTGCCCAGCGAAAAACTATTATTTTTGATTTTCGTCTAATATAGATTAAAAATCTAAAAAAAAAAAAATGTCTACCTCTGGAAAAATGAAACATAAAAAAATAGTTTATAATACACATGTACATAATATTCTAAACTACTGACGGTTTAATTATTTTAAATTTAAAATTCAATCTTTTATGATGAGTAAAATTTAAAAAAATAAACCAAAAAAAACACTCATTATTATATATTTTATAGGACAATTATTTTGCTGTTTTCTTGTTACTTTTTAAAATTATTATTAAATTATTCCATTTTCTCGGTTAATTATCGGTTTCGTAACACAGTTGTTCTATCTCTCTCATCAGTTTCAACCCCTTCTCGGACGCATCGAAGCGACGGTACGCGTTCATTCGTTCTTCCACAATATTATCGGATTCCAATAACAATTCCGCTATCTTAAGATCGTTAGATTTGTACACTTTGGAAGTCAAGTCTCTTTGAAAGTTTTGTTTAACATTATTTACCATTTCGTACATGATCGTTTTTGGAACGCTATCTTGAATTATTTTTTTGATAACCTTAAAATAACATTTTATAAACAGTGTAAGTAATCCAGCTCGACTTTCCAATATTAATTTATCGGTATCGGCGAATCCAGTAAAAGCGCACGTAGTAATTTTCTCGACCATTTTTCGCATCCGGTATTGTTGAGTTATTGGTTTTGCTGAACTATCATCTTCATCCGATGATGATGATGCATTTTCTTGGTTTTGTTCTTCAGTATGTTTGATCTTTATGGACTTTACGAAGAGCTCAAGGTATTCCTCCGACTGCATCACAGCTTCGATGAAATCGGGATGATCAGTATTGACGTACGCTTCTTGGCAACGGATCAGTTTACTAACCGATTCGAGTGTTTTCGATTTATATGTGTTCAATGATTCTTGTAATACTTCGTTTATTTTTTCATTGAGTTTTGGATATTTTTTTAGTTCTCGTGATATGTCTTCGTCTAAACACAGCATATTTGAAATTAACTCTTCGTGTACAACAGTTACGCAAGTTAACGACGGCGGTTCCATCAATCGTAATTGTTTCTTGACCAGGTGATCGAACGCTTGGGAGGGCATGAATACACCCATATCTGTTCCTGACGCGTTTTTTATTATATTGATAATTATCTCATCAGATAATCCGTAAAGCGGGTCAATTTTATCGATTTCTTTCTTGAATTCATTTTTGAAATAACGGGCAATAGAAGCCCCGCTGTTTAATTTTTCCAAACAGGTGTTGTTAGCCTGACCGTCCAAACATGATTTGTAACTAGTCGAAGTCTTCATAATCAAATCGAGAAGCGATCGGTCGTAGTTGTTAGTAAACTCTTTCAAGTGTTTCACCTGAGTACCGTACAGTGAATTCTGTTCATAAAGTTGTCGTTTCAAATCCGGACACGTTTCTTTAATTTTTTTCATCAAGAGATTCTGAAGTCTTTTGCCTAAAACGTTTGTTCCGTGTTGTTCCGCTATAATAGGATAACGTTCCTTAAAAAATTTCATCTCCGCTTCACGTGATTGTTCAATACTTTTGTTGGTCGTGATGTCTTTTTGAGACCGGTTTATTACACCGACTATTCCGAGTTTCACTGGAATTATTTTTCCAGTTAAACATTCGGTAGCGTCCGTTCCTCTGTCCATAATATCGATTTTGGTAACGACCGCGATAGTACGGTCACCGTTGGGATCGACGGTTCTAGCTATGTGCAAACTTTCGCTGCAAGCTATGTCTACGTTTGCCGGCACTATGGCCAGTATTATCGAATTTGGGTTACTAATAAACTGCAAATTCAATTTCTCGATTTGTTGCTTAATGTCTAAGGGTTGGCCCGGCACGGCTATTTGGGTCAACCCCGGAAGATCGACGAAACTTAGATTGTACAAACGTTTAGAATAAATGTTTAACGTGATTGGCGAATCAGTTATATTTTTTTTGTCACCCGCAAGTTCTGTTGTCCGATCTTCAATTTCTTTTCTTACTTTATCGAAATCTTGAAAAATTACGTTTGGTTTGTGTTGAAATGTAGCCCAATCGTGTGAACATGCGTTTTCTATTTCAGAATGTGTTGGATTAATAAGGTGTAAGAGTAGAGGTGTTCGTGTTACAATTCCAGTTCCTCTAGGTAAAAAAGATTTACCAACAATACTTTCTAAGACGCTGCTCTTACCGGAACTTTGGGAACCAACAACAACAATCTGAGGGAGATCTATGATTTGTGATCCACCAATAGTCGAAAAAACATCTTGTAGTTTGTTCATAACAGTAATTAAACTCTCCATATTTGTTTAGCGTATCGGTATCCAGCTGTATTCTGTAAAATTTATAATTGCAAATTATTAATAAACATTTTTTTTTTTTTTTTTAAATATTTAATTTAAACCAAATTATAAACTGAAAAAACAAAGAACTACTTTTGAATCAAAAAATAATATGATTTTAATATTAAAATTATATTAATGTAACAATTTTAAATTTGAATATAATATTATGTATATTAATACATCAGAAAAAGGATTTATTCATGAAATTAAATACTCATTTGGTTTTATATTTTACTGTTTAAACTATAATTATTTTTGCATATAGCTGCTTATAGTACTTTGTGTCCTAAATTTCTAGCTAGTTATGTTTTGTATCCAAATACGAGCACGAGTAAGTCAATGTTGATCAATCTTCAAAAATAAAAATATAGTGAATATATATATTCATCTCAAAAAATTCTAACTTTTATTTGGGTGTTTCTTAAAAAAAAATGCATGATACCCGAAGTTCTAAAATGTTGTATATTCGGCTTATTTTTCTCACCATTATGCTCCACGGTGATATCACTACCAATTTTTGATTTAAAAATATCAACCTGTTTTTCAATGCCAATAGAAACGTACCTACATGGAGTTTTATTTTTATACTTTATAACTGGACGTATATTTTTTTTTTAGCTACTTCACCGAACACCTATATTTTGTTTAAAATACAACGGTTCCGAAGCCGTATTGTTGCAACCCTTATATAACATAATAGTAATCTCAAAATAATAAATATTAAACAATTAAACATTTCATAATAATCGTATGAGTATAATATTATAGTCAGTCTGAATATCTGCAAATCTGATTACCTGCAAACTAACGCTATATTATTGTAAGGAATACGTAATTATTTTTTATAACCTTTATAATATTAACTAGTCGGTATTTAATTACTTATTTATTTGTATTATATGATTATTCAATTTTTATCTCGGTGACTATAAGTAGACGAAACAATAGCAGTAACCATTTAATTACTATAATATTCTAGACGTACGTCTCACCATTTGGAAATCACCGTTTTTTTTTTATTTCAATATTTAGTATGTAATTAGTATGAATTTGTTTGGCCAAACCCGGAATTTGTATGGCATTTATTGCAGTAAACCAACTTTTGAATGGGATGGGTGCTGGAGGGACGTCTCTCTAGCCCCTCCCCTCATATGTAAATTTGTGTAAAATTCAAAATTAAACGACGCAATTATTTAGTACCTCATAAGTATCTATTTGTATATCTAATCCTAAAATTGCTACCCTCCTTCCTGGTCAAAAGTCACTTGCCATTCTGGTAGAAAACATACGCCGAACTGAACCACACATAATAAAACCAATAGATCCTCCTCACGCTCAAATTCTAAAATTTAACTGATTACCGTATTAAACTTTTTCTCAAATTATATAGTTTGGCAGACCTGTGTGAAAAAGGATGAGAACCCACAAGTTGGACGAATACATTTGTTAGATGTTTCTTGAAAACTTAAAGCTTCGTAAGAGATACATATACACTATAAAGTTACATACCGTGAAATTAAATATTAACATTTCACAGAAAAAGTCTTATTATAGTATTCATAATTTAATATAATATCCAGACCAAAACTTCAATACTCTTACTTATTTGACATATTTTTTTAACTATTGCAAAATATTACACACTATTTTACTAAACACGGAGATTCAACCGATAGAAAATGTAAAAACAGTTGTCCGGGGACGCCCATAGATATTTATCCTAATTAATTGAAACGTCGAAAGTTTGATGCAAACGATTTCACTCGGATTTCAACTTAAAAGTGTCCATTGTAATGGAAATACGCGGGAATGAGGTTTCTCGAAATTATCGTTTTAGAAAGACGAAATAGTAAATTTAAGTGTTAAAAACGCATAGCGATTACGGCGATATATTCTCGGAGTTAGATGTCCGATAATACCTGATTTACTGTAACACAGAACGGGTATAGACGTACATAATATACGCTTAAAATAGGAGAGTCATTTTTAAACTCGTTTTTTTTTGAACTTTTTTCTCCTTAAAACATTTATCACTGATATATCGAAAACATGCTATCAGTTTTATTATGAATATTTGTATCGAGAATATAAATATATTTAGGAATATATTTATTAGCCATTTAGAACCGTTGTCGTATGTCAGGTAATCGATACATTTACTTGAAATAATTGAAAATGAAATAACTAACACTCGAAAACTCGTAGGTACAATACGATTTTAAGATAACTTAAAGAACTAGTATACTGCTGATGGGTGTGCCACTGCTGTAGGTGGGAAGTTGAGAAGATTGGATGGATAAGGTTATTTAATTTACATCTATAGGTAACGATTGACGATGAAGAACGACTCTGAACGAAGTTCGTTTAAACATGTTTTGAAATGCCATTATTTTTGTGATTTTCATTAAAATTTAAACAATTTTGTTTTATAAAAAAAAAAAAATACTACATAACGATGAATTTTTTTTTTTTTAGCCAACAAGTACCTATAAAAATTAATAATAAATTTAAAAAAATCATGAAAAATTTATTATTTTTATTTGGTTTAAGTCATTATTATAGCGATTGTTGAATTTCGATTATTTACAGTTATAATATTGTCAAAATTTTTTCTAAAAAGTAATAGCTTGAAATTATGTTTGTTTTTTTTCTAAGAATCCCGATGTTACTGTCTCAAAATATTATTATATTTTTGATAATATCGTAGGATTTTAATAATTTATGTATAATTATAACAGTTTAACATTTAAACCGAAGCCGTAGGGAAATCGACTAAAAATAATGGACAGGTGTTATTATTAGGTACTCTCTTCCTTATACTCTTCCGGTCTAAATATTTTTAACTGTTTTCACTCATACATTTTTTTTTGTTATACCTACATATATTCACATATTTAGAAAACTATATTCACCAATCTAGTGTTGAAAATGGGGTGAGGGATTATCATTTGAAAATCAATAGTTAATAACAAGTAGCAGGATTCAAAATTTTCACAAATTTCGTAAAATTTGAATATCATTCTTAACATTTAAAATTTTTAACGACCACCTTAATTAAGACTTTTCCACTAATTTATACCGTCCGTTATCCATTTAGAGGGAAGGAGTACGGCTATTTAAAATGGCACCACGGAAGAAAACTCTCACGATCCAATATTAATTTTTTTTTTTTTTTTTTGAAAGAGCAAAACTTTGTACATGTTGCATTGAATTCTCGTTTTTGATTAAAATTCAAAAAAACTTTGATGTAATGTCAGAAAAAATAAAAAAATAAAAACACGTAAAGAATATAAAATTACAACCATTTTTTTTTTTTTTTCTAACGCTTATTAATAAAAATTTTCTGGGAATTTAAATTTATAAAATCAGAGTTTGATGCGATGGTCTTCCTATTTCAAATGAGAAAAAACCATTCTACGAGGCAACATATTTTTTCCCGCGAGAAATGTTTTTGTAGAAAATAATATGCAGTAGATCCATCAGCTCTACAAAGCTTAAGAGAACAGTTGCACTATAATTGCCGTCTCTGTCTTTTTACCGGCCGGTATAGCAGAAATAATAGACTTCAAATGAAAATCATTGCACTTAATTCAAGCAAATATAGTGAATATCAATTCACTATGATTTTCCGTTTGGCGTTTTTTTTGTCGTTTATAATTTTCAGACAGTTCGCTCGTATTTATGAACAAAAAAAATAGAATTTCATCGTTTTTAAATTACAATATTTTGCTTATACAGCCGGTAAGAAAGACATCAAAAGACGGCAGGTAAATGTTACTGTGGACGTCCGTTTGAAGTATAACGGGCTGTTAAAAAAAAAAAAACACTAACACTAACACCATTTTAATAATAAATAATTGTATAATATAGGTACTTACGACGCAAGTAGTAGACGGGAGACGTAGCAGGTAGGCACGTGAAGCGAAGATTCCAACGGAGTGGGAAAAAAAAAACAAACGTCGTATAAAATGAAAAAAAAATTTATTGGCCAGTGTACGCGTAAAATAATATTGTTGTAATATTATTATTAGACAACGTCGAACAGCAGCAATTAAGTCGATATCCGCGGATAACACGCGCGAGTGACCGTACACACCGAACTAATAATATTGTAATTTTTAATTTTTTTTTTTCTTTATTAATATTACTGTTATTATTATTATCTCGTGTTGACCGTCGACCGCCCTCCGAATCCCCGCGCCGCCGTATAATATATTTTAAGACGCGCGCGCGACAGTGCGTTACCGGACGGCCGAGTTGTAATAGCCGAACATCTAGTGAAAATAACGATAACAATATTGTACGATAAAGGTTTTGGTATGCACATCGTTTTTTTTAACAATATTATCATCATTGCCTCGACAAGAACGTATAATTATTGTTCAGTGATTTTCATGCGCGCCGATAACATTCATTCGGCTCTACGCAGTACGCATAGGAGGGGACCGCCGCGTTTGACGATTAGTCTGTTGTTTATGTTATTTAAACATTTTCATTTTATTCTCACGAATAGGCGCTTTTTTTACGTTCACACGCGACACACGGTCATTGACGGCGTTTTTAAACTGCGGTCACGTGACGGTGGTCTCGTTCGTACGGATCGAATACACGATCAACATTACAGCGAGTCTAGAATTGAATTGATCAAATACAAATAAAACAACGGGAGATGGGTTATAGTTCGCCCGTAGCCCTCCCCGCATACACGAACCTAGGTTACGACAACGTCATATTTTAACGAGAATTATTAAAAAAAATATCAGCATTCGGCGTTGACGTTCCGACGTTCAAATCATCTATCACTATTATAGCGCCGTTCACACGGGGAAACGTTGGAGCGATAGCAGTAATCATTTACGTTCTATTATGTATGGTAAAACGTTCGAAATAGAACGGTTTAACGCTCATCACTATATCGTTCGTGATAGCGAAAAAAAATACAACCATTGCCCATCAAACTGTGACAATTACTATTGTTATCACTATATAACTGAAAACTATCATGCACTGATGAGATAGTACGTTCGTGTCTGTCGATATAACACGATAGCATTGTTTACGCAGCAGTGACAACGCTAGTGATCACGGTTATCATGATGGCACATACCACGGCAACTACCATTGTGTGACATCGAATTTATTATATCACCGACACAATAATAAAATCATTAGTGTTATATAATCGTATACAATAAATATAATTATAAAACACGAGTACTGTATACTGCTTGAAATTCGATGTTAAATAATATTTATTTTCCTCCTAAATGTTTGTTTACTATTATAATGTTTTATAATGCCATAAATAATGACCGACGTTGTAGTGTTGGATTCGTATTAAACTTTAAATATTGTTGTGCATTATTATTCTTTACGTATCATTTCCGGTCGAACGTGCCGAACGAATAATATTATGGATGCTGTCGCCGAGAAGTACCGACCGACGTGATTATTGTCCGGGGAACGATAGTTAACCGCGAGCAATAATAATAATATCGTCCGAAAGCCCGTTGCTCCGTTTGATCCACCGAGGCCGCTCCGAAAGATATCCCGTTGTAGTGATCCGCATCGATTGGCATAATACACGTATTTATAACCAGCCGGGTTTGGATTCGAATTACCGTATTTGCTTGTTTTTATTCATATTTCATTAGATGCCAACAAAATAACACCGATACATTAAAATCTGCAAAGCTGTGCGAGATAATCGATTTCGGCTATCAAGTGTATTCAATAGTAAACTCTTTTGCAGAACGTAAATAAAATTTGCATAAACTATGTAGGTAGAAAAAAAATTCACAGTCAAGAAACCGATATTACCTATACTAATCAATTGTACAAATTTAATCCTAGTCATTATAATATATTGATATTTAAAGATGGGGTCATGTGTGAATGTCGGTCGAATGGCTTTATAAAAAAAAGCTTTTTTCGCTCGTATTCTTGATTTTCGAAATAATAATATTTTCTGACATTTTTTTTTTGCTCTACATATACATAATATTATTAAAAAAAATCTCCACTTGGCCACTCAGGAAGTTTAGAAGAGGGAGAAAGGACAAATTTGTTTAAAAAAAAAAAAAAAATTCTATTACGTCGTATTCCATCCGTTTTAAAGCCTAAACGTATTTTATTCATATCGTTTATTGTATTAGATTCAATGGCTTGGAAATTTCCCCATTTCCGTCGCCGCTTTGACCATATCGCCCTTAGGTGCGACACGTCGTTCGACAATATTATAGAAGGTAGCTAAATATTAATTTATTCAAATTGTGAATAAAACGTTTGTATTTACCGGTAGTTGTACCCGATTGAGCACAGACCTTTTTAACGATCCAATTTCAAGCACTGACAATAATAAGCGCGCGCACGGGGGAGAAAGAAGAAGCAGCTGCTTCCCCCGTGAGATTTCCCGCCAAAGTATTTTTAAAATAAATATTATAGACATGCATATTTCAAAACATTCAACTCTAACGCCCCCTTGAATTGTTGTACCGGTGCTAATAGAGAACACGGAATTTGGATGGTTTAATCCCCAAAAACTGAACCGAGCTCTTTCATATCAAATTTCTCTCAAGTAAATACTAATAGTACTGCATAATCATTATTATGTCAGCTTAAGCCGACCAACCCCTTGAAATATTGATTTATTTGTGCTTATGATATTTGTGTAAGGTTTGATTTTAAAAATCGATGCTTCCCCTGCCAAGAGGACCTGCATACGCTTATGCTAACAATAATATTTTTATTTAACAATATGTGTACCATTTTTTATGTACTCGTACAAGTGAATTATACATAACTAATATAATACACTCACGGGAAGCAAGTAGTGCTCAAGGAGGACTTGATCAACCAGTAAACCCCAGAACCAACCGGACGATGTTGGACTAAATATATTCATCATCGTCAAAAAACGTATGTAGGCAAATATTTTGTAACACTCTGGTGTTAAACTATTAATATATCCATTTGTTAACTTTTTTAATGTTATACGGTTCCTGTTACACTTTCAACTATAGCATGTATGCTCACTGTTAATTTTTGATTCTGTATGGAGTCAATAGGAATCTATAGTTTTACAATGATGTTTATGTGCAGCAATTTTTCTAAACCGAAATCTGACTAGGGTGGTACTTCAGGATAAGAGAGAATTTTTTAATTTTTTCGGAATTTTTGCAATATAGATATTGGAAAAATTGAGAAAAATATTGAGGAAATATGGGAAAATATACGAATGTAAAGTAAAATATTATAGCCATTTTTTTTTTCTTGTGAACCCACATTCTACCAGGAATTTTGCTCAGATTAAAAATCACAGCACTTTTTCCGAAAAGAAATTTGATAGGGGAGGTACTTTAGAGAATTCATTTTTTGAGTTTCCAGAAATTTTTTCAATCGATTGGGAAAAACGAAGGAAAAACATGGGAAAACTGGGAGAATGAGAAAATAGATACGATATTAAACAAATATTATTAAAGAAAATGTTAAATGCATATAGAATTATTTTACTATAATTAAAATATGACATACATATAGTTAACAAAGCGACACTATCAATTGAACTCCGCTCAGATATGTTTTTTGGTTGCAATTGTTAATCGTCGCTTTCAGATACACATTAAATGCTCGTCTATGTCTTATCTTCCCATTATTCTATCTATAACAGTGGCTGCGTCGCACGTACGACGTATGTCCGTATTTTTTTATACACATTTTTAACGTACACGCACCAATTATTTCTGGTGTGATTGAATAATTTGTACATGTTGCTAAATTGTTTCCTGCTAAGTATTCAAATTTTTAATATTATTTTTTAAAAATGTATGTCCTTTCTTAATTTAAAACAATTATATACTTCTGTAGGTACGCGTTAGTACGTACCCGTGTACATTATTTCAGCTGTTACCAATATTCTAAAGTAACTTCTACAATATCCAATTACAGTGGGTGTTGAAACATATAACGTAACGTTATCAAATATCGGCTGTTCATGATCGAGCGTTAGGATAGTATTTACGATTTCGCTGTGTATTTTGTAAGTGTTTAATGTTTATTTTGACAACCATCGTAAAAGCCGGGATAGTTATTCGATTTTAGCAACTGAGTAAATACGAGTTACCTTCCTTTTTTAGTAAATATGAAAAGTCCTATAAATAATATTAATGTTTTAATTAATCTAATATCATACGGTTGTTGTTTATTCGAACTATTCATTGATAGGTGTAACAAAAGAGCTACCGTACTGAAGGTTTTCGTATAGGTAATTATATCGGAAATATTGGAAAAAACAAAACAATGTTCCAATTTATTTTAAAATACATTTACAATTACGTCAATGCCATTATTACAGATATTCATTGTTTTATCGTGAAATCAACAAAAATATCAACAGAGAAAATTGCGTGGACAAAAACTACTCGGATCAAAAACTTAATATTATCTTAACTTAATATATATATCATTTAAGAACAATAAATTTTTTTGTAGTATTGAAAAATTAAAACTAACGTTGGAAACTGTCCTGTTTTTGTAGTGAACATATTGGTTTCTTAATTAGGTCTCGTATATCTACCCGACTATTTTTCAGTAGGCAAGTCATAATATGTGACATTGTGTACATATAGACAGGTCACATAAGGCCCGAATGCCGATATTTCTAAGCGACCACCATATTATTATTTTTTTATGAATAACCATAATTTGGATGTATTTAAACTATATTATTGTTATAAGTTGTATTTTTTTTTTTTTTTAAAGTTATGCTTTATTATTCGAAATGAAACAATTATTGTTTCAATTGGAATTAAAAGACCCAACGGGGTATTATTTTTAAGTAACAAAAGATAACAGAACATTATTCCAAGAGTGTTTCACAACTAAAAATAAGAAAAAAACAACATACAATAGTTTTTGATCGCAGAAGTTTTTTAAAGTATACAGCGTCCTTCCGGTTGGCTTTAATAGGTAGTTGTATTATATTTTAATAGCAGAAGTTCACAAATTTCACTAGGTACCTATTATACTATTTATACTGCAGTATTCATATCAACAGCATTTTTATTTAAACATATTTTACATTTAGTTTTCACTTTTCACATCTCTATATAACATAACATAGCCATAATAATACAAACTACGAGGACGAAATTAAATTAAAATACATTTTAATATATTATATTGGACTGTTATCAAAAATGATGAATAGTGAAAAAGATGCCACACGGTTAAAATTCAAGGAGTTACGTATAGCCATTTAAAAAATATGTATTACATTAGGTACTTCAAAACAAAAGAGGAGCTGATACTGTGGACGGTTAAATTCACTGTTGTAGGTGGAGACGTAAGATACATAAGGTTATTTCATTTATGTCCATAACGATAAACCATTGTTGACGAAAGATGATTCCGAGCGCAGTTCGGTAATACATGATTTAAAGTGCCGTAATTTTTGTATTTAATCGTCAAAACACAACTTAACTATTGAAATAAGTGCTGTTATCATATTAATCAACAACAATTTAATCATTAGGCTGTCAGAAAATTTGTCTGATTAAAAATTGCCGTCAATTATAGCTGAAATTATCAACATTTTGTGAAATTTTTGATATGAAATATGCATTGGTGTAATTTAAACTACGATATGTGAGCATTCTGTCCATTTTTCAAGTCACTACAAATATTTTTAACTGAATTACAACAACTTCGTCTTCTTTTGGTTTTTCGAATCACTATGAAGTCAAAAAATGTCATGCGCCATAAGAAACAAAATGCACAATGAAACAAAAAAGGTTTCTTGTCATTTTTCGATTAAAACACTTTTATTAAAAATAAACGTTTTCCGTATTAATGTAAAATAACGGTGTCGTGAAAATGTACGTTTTTCATACTTTTTTTTCACGATTATTATTATATTCACGATCAACTTTTTTAATATGATCATTTAAGAGTTTTTTCGTTACGAAAATAAAGTTCATCATACGCCTAGCGTTCAAAATAATTGACTCGAATTTGTTATTCTTATAACACCGCAGCTGACAACGTTGTGTACTTAATTTTCCATCATACAGGCTGTTTTGCACGTCGAAAATATCACATTTGTTTTTTAAATTTAAATACAATATTTATACATGTTCAGAGTACTGGTGCCAAATAAAGTATCCAATTATGGTCGACAAAAAGAATACACAATAAATACAAATGATTTACTCTGGAAAGTTAACCGTTGTGGATTATTGTATTTGTAAAGGACATTTTTATTTTAACGCAAATATAGGTACACCACGTTTACGGACGAATAAGACCGAAACCGGATTGAAAAGTACAAAAAAAATCAAATATATTACAAACGTTATATATATATATATATATGTTTATTTTCTTTCCTTAAACAAGGAGGCGTAGGGAAAAACAAAACAGACGTCAATGCGAAACGTCAATGGTCCCAACGACCGATTCAGATTAATCGCCGTAAATAACCGCCACTACGAGACGGACGAGAACGAAATGGAACAAAAATAAAAAATCCCCATAAATTTATCAGTCTAGTAAAAAATTTGATTTTTTTTCAATGCATAAAATATAGAAATTTGAACATAGAAGTACATAATTCATTCCAAATTATGTGTTGGCCAGTGTATTCAGTGAAAAATTTGACAGCTATTGAATATAGACTATTTTAATTTATACGTTGAAAGCAAGAATAAATCATTGCAATCTAAAAATTAATCTGAGCAAAGTAGTTTTTGTATAATGTTAGTTGTGATTTTGCCCCTTGTTATACAAATAAAGACTACCCAAAATCCAACGAAAATAAAACCGATATGTCGATAACACGACTCTATTGATAATGCTGAGTGATTACCAGCTCGTGTTATACTCGATAATTTTATCCGTATAACGGAAACAATATACTAACGGCAATAGAATAAAAACATATTTTGCAACACCTAATTGAAATATTCAAATTATTTATTAAGAAAAAAAAAAACCTCGGTGTAACCTGGAAAATCCATTCGCGAGATGTATTTATCCACCTCTCCCTATTGGCAATAATTCACCAGAGAAATTTAGCCGGGACCAATAATCACGTACGACGTTTTACTGTCGATTTTCAGCTGTTTGATGATTAGCTAATACCCGTTTTTGACCGATACGAAAATGTACGGTGAAGGTGGGAGAGGGAATTGGGGTCAGTGGCGTGGTTCGCCAGAAAACTAACAATTTTACTGAAAAAACATTGTACAGGTAAACTCTCCATGCGGCTTTTGATGAAACGTTCTGCTCTCGCGGGCATTGTCGAAATATTTGTTCTATACACAATTCGGTTATATACGCGACTGTTATATTATATACTCGTACCTACCCACCATGTGTATATTGTATACTGTACACATATAATAGAAATTGTTTTGCGTGCGAGCACTTATGCACAACTACGCGGGGGCAAAATAATGGTTGTTTTTTTTTTTTTTTCATATATATATTACGTGACATTTTACGTGAATAAAATGACTGACTTATGTACCGACAGGTGTTGGATGTTTCTCATAAATAACACCGTTTACCCGTGACTGCTTTTGTTTCGGGCTGGTGAAAAAAATAAAGGCGTAGAGAGTGTAGCAATCATAACAATAATGCACGCACTTGTACGGTATCCGAATTAATATTTCAAGAGCTATTATAATTCCGTTATACTACCGTTTCATCACTTACCGGCATATATATATAACAATAATTTTGAGATAAATGAAAAAGATAAAAAAGTATTATCAGTGAAACAAATTTGGGAATTTTGTTCATACGAAAATGAAAATAATACAATTTACAAACCATTGTATATAAAATAATTTTTTTTTTTTTTTTAGCTTCCATGCAGAAACCAGAAATTAACGATAACCACTGCAATGATAACGATTATATTCCAGATAAAACGATTTAAATGTATATGAATACGTTTCATTGTTGAAAAACTAACGAAAAAAAGAAAAACTATAAAAATAATAACGCGATTTCAAACATGTGACACACGAGTATCAGTATCATATATCTAATTGTTATAAACGAACACAGTTCAAACAGAATTAAACAACAATAGCATTATTGATAAATAAAAAACATTTCTTGGAAATCAATCGCTTAAATACATTTAAAAAGACAATTGATTTATTCCTATTAATAATAATAATACTGTCAAATATATTTTTATGGAACAATTCGTTTTCGGTATTTTTAAATTAAAATAAATTGATGATGTTTTCGATTTTACAAAAACTTTCGCCCTGAAATAATAATGAAATGGAACTACACATCGTTTTGACTAACAGCGTGCTATTTTTTAGAAACCAAATACTAAATTATGATTTTAGTGTTTTGTGTACCAAAAATATTTTAGCACGAAGAAAATGAAATAGTTGTCGACCTTTAAGACTATATTAAAAAATATATAGCTTTCCATCTTTCTCCGTCAAAATCTAAAGCTTACCACTCTACGTTTGGTACGACACGCTGCACATTCTTCATAACCTGATCTTTCGACGTTAACCTTGATCGTCTAATTGGTATTTTTCCTTCTGGAGTACCACTGTGTACCATGCGTATAAATGAGCCGTATTTTTACCATACGTGCCCAGCCCAGAAAATCTTCCTTTTCCTAATATCATCCACTACATTGGGTTTTTGATAAAGCTCTTAAATCACCGTATTATTTCTGATCCTCCGTTCTCATTTATTCACGTCTACACATGGTCCAAAGATCGATCTAAAGATCTTCCACTGAAATACCAAATGATTATTCTGTTGTCCATGTTTCGCATCCTTTTTTAACATCGGTTTAATTAGAGTCCCATAATGTTGCGCCGGAAAGATCTTAGGCAGTATTTTTGACTAAAATATCGTGACAATCCAAAATAACATCTATTGCCTGATTGTTTTCCTGCTTTTATTTCTTCTTGAATGCCATTGTTCTAAGGTATAGGTTTTAAGTTATTTTCATTAGGTATGCCTAAGTATCTGAACTATTTTGTAATATAATACAAATAAAAAAGGAAAACTAGAATAGGAGTTAAACAAGGGGTATAAGTGGGTTGTGTGGACGGAGGTTGTGGATGGAAGGGTTATAATATACATTATATAATATGATGTGAGTTAATATGTTTGTGTGGTGTTATAATATTTTTACGTAAGATATTTAATGCGAGCGCACAGTGATATATTTATTGATAGTATGGTTGACGGTAGTGTTGCCGCAATACGCAGTTTGTCGGATTTGATCCTGAATAGACTCGTGACTTAAGAGAACGTTATACACGCATCTAACCGGTCCAACTACCGGGTGACATACAAAGAGAACGATATTTAGGAGGGAATGTCATAGGTTTTTTGTATTATTTAAAATACATCCCGATATAAAAGATGCAAAAACATTTTTTTTTTTTTTTAAATAACTATAACTTTTTTAATAGTTCATAACTCAAAAAATACCTTTAACATTACATCCAAAATATTGTTCTCTATACATTTCATAATTAGTACTTTTACTCTAAAATCAAAATTAAATTAGATTTATTTATTCTGCATAAGCATTGTTTATGTATGTTATCCGGTAATTGGACTGAGACAGTAGATGCGGGTATAACGTCCTCTTAATATGTTGCAATGTATAAAATTCGATAGATATTCAATAGAGACATAAATACTCTATGCCTTCGGGTATAGCGCAGACACCAAGGGTTAAGGTATCACATTAATTTACTACAGGAACTTCTGTCAGCGTTTTCAATCACGGATGTTCACCTTTTCAAATGCAACGTGTGTACATCATCCTGATGCCTTTCCATGCGTGTATACAATCGCTCATTATAGGTGAGTATTATTCGGCGTTTTTAACCGTGGGTACTCAAATTCAGCTCAAATAATAGGTTGTGTATAGCCGTCCACGCACCCGAATTTTGTTTGAAAAATAAACACTTCCTATGGTAAATGATATGATGTTGTACACCCACTGTCATACCGTTTACCATGTTTACCATGTTTACCAATGAGGATAATGTGGAAGGTTCAGTCAAATGGAAGTTTGGGACGAAAGTTGTTAATTCTATATAGTTGGGATGAAGACGAAAGAAAAGAAGACATTTCAGTGCGCACAGTGTGCAAAAAGTACCTACTTTTTTGTAAAACCAAATACATTATAAGTTTTAACTGATGACGTACTCCTGTTATCAAGTTGCTTGGAGATCGAATTTCGTGGATTAAAATACGATTACCAGTTCGTAATCTAAAATACTTGCTTATTAGGTACCGGCAAGGTGAGAGTAGTGTCGGTGATAAGGCGTCTAACATCGACCATCCGTAGTCTCGGAGAAAAAAATTATTAATATATCTATACATTTAAAACAGACGGACGTACCTTGCATGATGGGCGAGCCACTATTATAAGTGAGAAGTTGGGAAGGTAGAGGGGAAATTTAATGTATATCTGTACGCGACAATTAATCATTGCTAATAAAAACACATTTTTCGCTCCGTTCGGAATCTAAAATTATTTCTTTAAATTTTGATTTGGGATCCCAGTGAAATTGAGCATAATTTTTATAACAGTAAGTAAATATAATATTTTATGTCGGTAACATACCTTTAATATAATTCAAACAAATATTTTTTTATCGCCAAATGGAACTCAACAATCGATTAGTCTCAAAACGCCATTGAATTGATTACTGTATACACCTTTTCCCCTTTACCTTAATTGCCCTTCGACTCGTTTGTATTTTTATATGGAAAGTTTAAAAAAATATAAATAACAATAACGACAACAATTAAAAACAAGTTTACAAATTTGTTATAATTTAAAACATAAATATTGTTAAAATCATAATGAGCTATGCGATTACGCGCGATAACATATTACAATCATTTTTGTTCTCAATCATATTCTCGTGTTACGATTATATTTTATTCAACGGAGCTCTATACATTTTACCATCTGTATAAGAAACTGTAATTATTTTTATAGAAAACAATAGTTTGTTTCAGATCAATAATAAAATGTGGCATTATTTTCTACGGGGGAGGAAGAAAGGATGTCGTACTCACCCCGGTTTGAACGTGGTGCAGCGATTGAAACCTTAAATCTTCTGTGTACGCGGACAGTCCAACGGTGAGTAGACGGTAGTCTCGCCTACGGATCCACGAAACCTGCAAACATTTTTCATATATTATGTATACAATATTATTCGTAAATATTTTCTATTAAAAGTGCTTAAAGTAGGTTATACAGAATTTTATTAATATTCTATCGAATTTCATTCATCGGAAATTACATTTTTCAGATGGTACCTATTTGGTGCAAATAATGTTATCCTGGAAGTCTTGTGAAAATATACTTTTAAAATATGTTTAAATAGTGGTACAAACCGTCTTGTTAAAATTATTATAAATCCATTTAAAATACTTATTTATAATGTAATTATGTAAAAACACAAATATTAAAGCAATAGTACATTCTTACTTTTTTTTTTTTTTCAATGAGTAAAAAGTTTTGAATTTTTGAACCAAGTCTAAATGTATTATAACCGAGTATCGTGTTTTTTATGAAATCAATTTAAATAATTAAAACACATTAATTAATTAACTAAATATAAATTAACTAGTTGATTAACAACTTTAGTTAAATAATTAACGAATTTACCATCAGGTTCATAACATATTTAATCGATCCTTAGAATATTACGAACTATACTAATTTGATGATCTTATAATATAAAATCGATATGAATACTAACAAAAAAGACGGATATACTTCGCAAAATGCGCGAATCATTGTTGTAGGTAAGGATTTGGAATGTTAGGATATAGAGGGGAATTTAATGTTTGTCCACAAATGTACGCGATGATTAATAATATCAAACGAAAAATTATTGGTTTAACATTATCATAAAGTTTAATTTACCGACGTAATCCGGATAAGAATCCTATTTTGTTAGCAATAGATTATCTTTGCATACGGATATAAAACATAAAACTTTTGGTATCCTACTTTCCCGGTTCCCCTCCTTAAACAGTAATACACCAATCAGCTGGGTTTTGCTTATGTTTAATTTATAAATCTACGACATACGAACTCCAATTTTTGTTTAAATTCGCATCCTAGATAATATAACATGAATTTATTTAGCGTGATTAATTCGTTGGTATCTACCGCATTTGGTTTATTCTACCATTATTATTTGTCTATCTACACATTTCTTTGAACGTTATGGATACAATGCATTCAAACAGACGTGAATATATTATTATAAATATGTATGTAAATACATGAATATTTGCATAGTATATATTATATGAACAAAAAAAGGAAAACTTTGAGTACGATTCCTTCAAAAAGAAAAACGTTTTCACGTACACGCGTTGATATTTATTTTAAATATTATAATGTAATCTCACGTTTAAATAAAGTTTGAAAAGGAAAATAATGATTCCCGATTTTACGAGGAGAAGAATTATTTTGTTTTTTTTTTTTTTTTTTTTTTTTTTTGTATAATTATTTTCAAAAATATATCGACATCGTGTGCAGAACAAAAACTATATAATGTATTTTTTTTTATTTTTGTGCGCCCGTAGATATCAATATGCCGGTATGCCTGTAATTACCTATTGATAATGTGCTATTTTATTTCTAGAAAACCGTTTCAGTGAAAATTTACCCCCTGACAGTTCATATGAGGGGGTGCATTAAAACTCTAGTACAGATTAACTAAACGGGTCAATTTTTGTGATTTTACCGGTGCATAAATCACATCATTTTGAATATTTTTATCTTTGATTTATTTTTCCGAGCAGAAAAATATGCATATCGTTTGTAAATTTATATAAAAAAAAAAAAAAAATGTTGTTTCGCAGCAAAAGCGTTAAATATTGTGTAGCTAGGTACCCTAGCTACAGCGATCGGATCGCAATAGCAAATTATACTAAAATGTTTTTACGCGTGTCGACCAATAATCGTTTTAAAATTAAATTAAATTATTAAACTACAATAATATATACTGGAAACGCTGCAGTCGATTTTGAAAGTTTCCGAAATTGAATTTCACTGCATGTACAGATACACAACCCAAAAAGTGTATTATATTGTTTATAGATATAAAGTAATTTAGACTTGAGCAAAACGGAAATCTGTGGAGAACAGACATTTTTTTTTTTTTCATTTGCTACTTTTTTCGTAGCGATTGATTTTTGAACCCATTATCCGAGTTTAGTTTACCTATACAATGTATAGTATACATATCGCGGTGATTTTTAGCGGTTCACTCATCATTTTTGATTGTATCGTTTAAATTTCACATTCGTGTCGGTATCTATCACATGCACAATAGTAACATTGCACGCACTTATGTTTTGTAATATTTTACTGCATTTTATTGTACCTGTGTGACGAACTCAGTAATATTACAATATCATTCTCATACAATATTCGTGTGCGTGCGTGTTCATCAGTCATAAAATAGAAAATCAAATTATACGATATTATTAACGTTTACTTATTACGAATTACATAGTACCGCACACAACGAAAAAAATAAATAAAAACCAAACAAATTTCTCTGAAAGATTACTCAGCTCGCGTCGGTATAGTATAAATATTTTATGTGTGACGAATATTATATTAAGGTATCATATGATGCACTATTTCTATGATATATTACTACGTATATTAAATATTCCATTAATATTGCCAGCACAATATTCGTGTGTTTTATAGAGAGATAGTAAACTGCGACGAAATTAACCTTTTACTCGAATTCGATGTATGTAACTGCGAC